CCCCAAAACCCCAAAACCCCAAAACCCCATACGTGTCAAATTCGCTTAAATTGAGATGTTGAAATAGTAAATTAAAAAGTTAATTTTAATTTGAAACACAATCGATTTGTTCTTATACTCCTCAGTTATCTTTTTTCTCATTTGACAAGTAAGGTTCTTCTGAATGATTCCAAACTATATTCTTATCATCATTATATATTGCAAGAGCAGCAACACTTATAAGACAGCCTGGAACGAGATACAATAGAGCAGGTTGACCGTGATCGAATATGATCATAATAACTACAGTAGTAAGAATAGCTACCAAGTAACCAATAATAACTGCTATGAAGTAGGATTTTGGGGCAGCATTAGCTTTAGCGATCAAGTATCCAACAAATTTGTTGTTTTCAGTGGTTCCTTTACGTTCTGACTCAATCAACTCAGACAATCTATGCTTGTCAAGGGTTTTTAAGAAATCAAATCTGAGGCACATTGACATGAAGATGCCTGGAATAACGATATCGCCAAGACCAAGGATTGAGTATTGAGGTGGAGTAACACTCATGTCTTTGGGGAATTGAAGCTTGATTGGGGCATCAATGTTTTTAGCAACAGTGAGCATAACGTCTGTTCCGAATACAAAGAAAATATCGTAGAAGAATAGGAGCACTAACAAGAGACCTCCTGTTTTGAAGTTGCCCAAGAAGATCAATTGTAAAGCATGAATGCAAAATAGGATAGCGATAGCATTATTGTAGACCCAGCTCTTGCTTACAGAATATATGATGACTGATACAATGGATAAAGCAAAGCATATTAAGTCTAAAAGGGAGACCTCAAGCTCAATATAAGAGTTCTTGATATTGATGATTTTGCCTTCATCTATTTTGTCAAACATAGTACCGGTAAATGACTATATTAATGCTTTTATTCCAGTAGTACTGCCAAGTGCGATGTATGCAAGCACAAAGTAGTTCACTGATTCCTTTCCAAAGAATTTGATAAGTAAATAGAGAAAAAGAAGGGTGGCTCCAGCAAATAATGGGAACTATAGGGCGTCCTTGTTGCTCAAAGTCTCGATACCTTCACTCTTTTGTCCATTAATATGTACCTTTTTCATTTAGCCAATCATCTCTCTAAGTGATCTGTAAGATCCGATAATGATAATCGCTAGAGAGTAAACACAGATACTCAAATGAATAGGAATCTTGTCTGTGAAAATATTGGCTACTGTTAAGGTGAGCATGGATAGGTAGCACACTGGCTCTATTAAGGGGTGTCCAATTTGATCTGATGACATATCTATTGCTTATTAATTTGTATTCTAGTTATAAACTATAATATTAATTCAAAATTTAAACTCTTAAATTTTTCCTAGTAACCCATTTTCCATAATTATACTATAGCGGGGTTTTGGGGTTTTGGGGTTTTGGGG